ACTGATGCACCCACCCTCTTCCACACCCACACTCACACCCCACACCCATTGATTCTTTGAAAATAGTCGAACACGCAAAAAAAAATTACGCCAGAGACGTTCGTAGCAAAGGTTTTTGAAACGAATGAAACATGTCCGCGTATATGTGTAATACATGTGGATGCATATATTTTGTGACAGAGAGAACACGAAAAATTTCATGTTTACTGTACGTTTAATAACAAGGGAGTGATTTAATGCCATACACTCGAAGCTCTTCCTACTTTTTTCTGCATTCCGTTTTATATGATTTATATTAATGCTAAGTATGACAGAAACAGACATTAATATAGGTAAATCAAGCTGAAAGAATAAAAAATGGAGTTTACTGGTCTTGGTCTTCCACAGGAACCCAGTTACGAACCAAGTCGTTTAACTTTACGAGATTTTTTTCTGGTACACTTTATAAAAATTGTGATAATCATTATAGCGATTGTCCTTCTCGCTATACTCGTTTTTACCTTAACGTACCTAGTCTTAAGACAACATCGTCAATCGGAAGAACAACGATTTCTTTCCAATTACTCATCGAAAGTGCTTAACTGTTCATCCTATTCATCTGACCTTGATATAATCCAATCGTTACCGGCGAACATCAGAATTCTAAATGAAACTAATATTGGCTATATCAATTTCTCTAACTATGCTAGGATTAACGATAGAAAACAAGTCGTCACGTTGTATTTGAAGAATACAAATGAGTCACTTCAAATCTACTGCCTACTGAATCTGTATGCTTTGACTGTTGACGGTGACATCTTCTGGAGAGTTCCACCTGAAATTGGAAATCTTACACGCATGAAGCAACTTGCCTTAACTAATATTGCTGGCGAGAAAGTACCGAGTACAATTGGAAAGTTGAAGATGCTACGCAACTTACGTCTCGCAGGGGACGATCTGCAAGAATTACCCGAGGAACTAGCAGCGCTCACTAGACTCACATCACTGACAGTCGATGCAAACCTGAAGACAATGCCGTTATCCATTAGCATGCTACCCATTCAACGACTTCGTTTTTCACAATATTCAAGATTTTCAGTAATTCCGTCTGGTTTCTTTAAAAATCTCAAACCTCACCTAAGGTCTCTTTCGATCGGTGTTTCTCATCCAAGTGCCTTGGAACAACTCTATGAAGCAACACATTTGAGAGGTTTAATACTCTATGCTGACGTATTATTGGAATTTCCCATGCCACTGATCCACGTTTCTTCGCTACAAATCTTATTTTTGCGAGGAATTGTCAATGCAATAACGTCTCTTCCGCAGAATTTTTCATCACTTCCCATCAGGCACTTAGAACTTGGAAGCAATGCCTTTAATGAGATTCCACCTGTACTAGCAAACTGTTCGAAATTATCCGTACTGAACTTGACAGATAATCAAATCACAAATATATCTGCGATTCTCAGGAATACTTCGAAACTGACCTTTTTGGATTTATCGAGGAACTATATCCAGAGAATACCGTCGGAGATAACTCTCTTATCGAAAACATTAAATTATCTAGAATTTGCTTATAATAGGCTCACAACTGTACCAGCTGAAGAATTAGTGAATATGGAAAAATTGAGAGTGTTAGGCATTAGAAATAACCCAATACCGTCAGGCGAGTTGGTGCGTCTTAAGCGTATTTTTTCGACTAAGCCAAGACTCAAGGTTTATTACTAGGTAACGGCTTTTCTTTCACTTCGAACATAACCAAGTTGATTTGAAGATGTTTTCGAAAGAAAACTTTGTAAGACAGAAAAAAATTCGTCTGATTTTCGAAGCCTTACAAACCGAATAATTTTGTTTTGATCGAGTTGATTATGTGATTCGAATTGATTGTTCAATGAATAAATGATTTTGAGTCAAAAATGTTTATGTTCAAATATCTTCGATCGAATCGAATCAACTTGAAACTGTTTCATCTGAGAATTCATTCTGGTTCATAAAGATTTTGTCAATCAGTTTGGAGAGATTTATCTGAAAAGGAACAATATCTATTGGACACACATACGCGATTGTCTCTTCATTTGAACGACAACGAAACCTGAAATCAATGTGACGAGTAAGAGAAAGTTTTGATTAGGTGAATATTTTCAAAGAAGAGTGTGGATGTTATCTTCTCTTTATTCCCATGCACACCCACATACACACCAACCTTTACTAGTATATTCAAGGTAGTTTAGTGGTGAAAAACTTCCATTAGACCTATAGCAGTAAATATGAAGATTGGACTATTAGTACTTCAATGAACTCCAAGTAAGAACTCGATTTGAAAACGATTCATTGTTGATTTGTCATAGATATTTTCTTCGAATGTAGAAGCCGAAAGAGTTATAATCGTATTAACCATTTATGGTTCTGAGCAGTTGACTATGCAGGAGAGACAAGCTTCCAAGACATCTAGTAGAGTTGTGAGAGAAATCAACATTTGAACAATAGTATTTTTCCGTTCAATATTGAGTATCGATATTAGTTGATGAACAAATAGTAAAAATCACATGTATTGTTAGAATACTATTCTAGAAAAAAATAGCTGAGACATTTACAAGAAAGTAATATACGTAATCCTTTCAACTTCGACTATTTGGAGCGATTAAATAGTTGATGAAGTTCAAATATTTTAAAATAGAGTCAAAAGAAAACTAAAGAAAAAAAAACATCTATGCTATCATACAAGATACCATTAATTCATTCTAGACTATTCAGATTCATTTCGTACATAGTGCAGTTCAATTTCATTGATCGAATACTTTCTATAGAATTGTTAGTATTTTCTCTACAGGATTTATTAAAGCATATATATATTTAAGACAAAAGAAAACATTCAGATAGAAACTGATTCAATAGCAAATACAAAAGAAATAAATTAATGTCAAAAAAAAAAGTTAAACGCTGAAAAAAGTAAATGCAGTAAAAAGAAGCATAATTAAAGCAAAAACTATTAGGCAAAGACGATCGATGACCATTGCTGCAAATTGCCAATCTCGAGATTCATTATCATCTTTCTCTTTTTGTCGTGAATAATCACTAAGAATAGCAAGTTGAGAAGTAATAATACGTAGTTCAGAACGAATCATTTCCATATCACCTGTTTGCAATTCATTAGATGTATTTTGATAATGACGAGAACTATGAATTTCCATTGCTGAAGGTGCAACGAATTCTAAAGATTCTTTGTCAACATTAATACCATTAGTTGATAATAATTCGAATTTATTATTCAATAATGATTCAGAAGGAATTTTAGAATGATGATTATTGATCGATTTTTGTTTTGAAGAAGTCCATCGACGACGAATTGTACGCCAACTTAAATCATGATTAGGACGTTCCATAAGTAATAACCATGCCAAATAGTTACAAATATATTTACGAACCTAAAATAATTTTTAAAATCATATGATTTACTTATTTTAAAATATGATTTACCCATAATGGCATTCTATAATTATTAGAATTTCGATTATAAAGTGATAATATTAATACTGATGCAACAACTGAAACTGCTGACATAATCATAATACACATGAAATAAATAGTAATAATCGGTATAGCAGTTGAACTTGGTGGCAAAATTTCCGATAGAAGTAAACTGAACATAATAACACTTAGAAGAGTTGTAATCTCTGAACATTTAGTATATATATATATGAGAACAATTTTTTTTGTTAATTATCAAATTTTGACTTACGCAAAGTTAATTTTTCACCACTATCTGGTGATAATAAAAATCCAACTACTGTCATACAACTGATAAGAAAACAAGGCACTATGAAACGCAAAAAATAATAATATTAATGTAGAGATTAGAAGAAAAAAAATGTTGTAATTTATATTTTATTACCGACGATACTTGTTAAATAATAAAGAGAACGTCGACGTATTCGAATAGTGTATAGTACGTGTGAATACACATTTGGACAACAGTCGTATTTAGTACCATTATTCGTTGCAAAGAAATCTAAAACAGAATGAATAGAAAAGAAAAACGTACATAATCCATATCAACAACCTTCTAAATCCCATTCGGCATTTTTGACATAGGCATCTAATTGACCTTGACTACTTGCTGCCGTTAAATTGACTCCTAAGTAATAAAAATGCATATAATATGCAGAAACATTTCGGCATCTCATTCTAGAAAAAAAAATGATTCAACCAAGTACCAGCATCATCATATGTCCAAGTTCCAAATTTCAGCGTACAATATTGTGTATCCCAAAAAAAAACAAACAAAAGACAAACATTCAACAAAGAAGTATGATATAACTGACAGATTTTTTTTTTTGTACTTACAAATGGAAACAAGGCAATATCAAATGGACAAATTGATTTAAATAATATTGGTGGCACATATAATATATTGCCATCATATTGTACAACGGCATTGACTTTTGCTCTAGTATCAAATTTGTCATCGATACTAGAAAAAAAAAGAAAAGACATCGTTTTTTAAGATATCTATTTTGTTGAAAAATAATAACCTATTGTAGAGAAAAATATCTGGTATCCAAATTTGTGTACTTGGTATTCGTATTGTTTGAATATTAGCAAACTCTTCTGGTTTCCATCTTAAACTATAATCATTCCACATCTATACAGATATATATATATATATGAGTAATAAAATTAATTATTATATCTAGGTACATAATGGTGAAGATAGTCGATTCCTACCAGTAACCGTTACACCTGGACCTAATTTATCAGTAACTGGTTCTCATCAACATTAGGCTAACACCGGTTTATGCCGCTATAAACTGATATTAGCCTAATATCAATAAAAATCGGTTTACTAATGAACTGAGTTTCGGTAAGGCCAGTTACCGGTTTGAATCGAGGATGGTAGAGCAGTGATTCACCATCACCATTATATCCCTAATTATAACTAAGTACACATACGATAGTCATCCAACCACTAATGACAATAGCTTCGTTCTTTCCATCCTATTTATATTTTACAATTGAACAAAAACAAAACACATAAAAAACATGTATATTTAATCATCCTTACAAAATCAATGATATTTTGTAAAGCCAAATTTATAGTAACAGGTAATGTGTCAGAATTATTTTGAACAGGTCGTGTAATTGGTTTGTATTGATTAACAGACAATAGATAGTTTAGCAAACGAACTTGATCAGGACCTCCATCTAATATCCATTATGTTTTCGTTTTTT